CTCCTGCTGTAGTTCTATTTTTAAAAATAGTTGTCTCTTTAAGATACATTATAAAATAGTTAAGGATTTGCTTCAAAATAATTCAGAGTAAGTGGAGGTTTGATGATATACAATTGGCCTTGTATTTGATAATTGTTAAAACTTGGCAGCGGGGGTTCATTATACTCTATTCTTTTGTATATGTTTTAAATTTTCCATAAGGAAGAGTTAAAAACAAACAAAACCTTGGTGCTAGAAATTCCACAACCCTCCTCACCAATCTCCTAGAATCACAGAATCTACAAACTGAAAGGAAAGACCTGAGGAGAGAGGAGGGTAATGCTGGAGATAAGATCCTCCAGATAGTACCCGAGGTAGATTTTCAGGTGGGAATGCTGGGTTGCAGCAGTGGTGGCAAGAGCCAGTGAAATCTGAGTTACTACTATTAACATGACCTCACTTGTACCTACCAGATGGTGCAGCCTGGAAACACATTGTGTTCTCTCCCTTTAAGGCATAAAATAGATCTGTGGACATCTTGGGGGTTGATTCCATGCAGCCTTAAGAGAGTTGTAGTTAATGGCATACAGATTGAGATGTGATTTGATCACGCTAGAAGTACTGTGAAGATCAGTAAACTAAGGCAGGAGGTCAGAGGGCCTGGGATAGATAGCACATGGGTTTTTCCTAGGCCTAGCAATAAACACTCTTTAAGTTGCTACAGAAAATATGTGCTACTGAAACCTTGAAAGAAGGAGAGAACATGCAGGCAAGCACCAACAAGGGGGATGGCGTATCGGGTAGGATGCATCAGGGTCTCAGGAAGCCTGGCACCTGCCCACTCTCACTTCTGTGTCAGACATTATTGCCCAGGGCCTGAGGGAGTTTCTCATGACCGCTATGTTTCCGCTTATTCCAGTCTGTTCCACCTCCTTTTCCTTGCCCTCTCTCAGTTTAAGACCTGAAACTCCAGAAGATGTGTCTCCCATTTTCCTTCCCAGTATATTTCCTTTTCATCTTTTCAGTTTCCTTGTTTTATTCCTCCCTCTGCTTAGGAGAATTTTCAGTATCATTTTTGCTGTTAAAACACCAGGGACAGAGATGAAAGACATTAAACAAGATATATTTCAGCAATAAACAAGATTCTTGTATTTTTCATGGGATCCCAAGGAAATAAGGATGAGAAATAAAAATTCCTACTGGAGTATTTACAATGTACGCAGCTGTTGAAATGTTCAAAATGCAATCAAGGAAGCAATTTAGCACATTTCTAATACACTTAACTATGGTAATAATGTTTAAGAGTTTGGCCAAATTGAAAGAACCCAGGGAATCTTTTAGGACATTACTAAAGAATCTAATCCCCACCAATGACAAATACATTTTTGACAGTTAATAGTCAATGCTGTACTTTATGGTTTTCTGTCCCTAGGCTAATGGCCCAGAATTAAAAGGATGCTATTTAACCTCCCTCCAGGCAGGGAACAGAATGAGCCAGATGTTGCCTTTTGTCCTGTATTCTCAGTACATGTGTAGCCTGCACATAGTCCACTATCATGGATTTCTCTTGCTCCCTCATTATTTCTCAGTGTAACTATCCAGCCAGGACCATTTTTCCCAAATGTCATTTGTGTGCCTCCTTCAAAACTTTTGTGATAGCTGAGGCCACTTGTTCTGTTATTTAATATTCTTTATATTGTTTCATTTTTTTTTTTACTTGAATTTATTTTAAAGCAAAACATAAATACTCCTGGAGTCAAACCACTTGGGTTCAAATTCCAGCTCTGCCTCTCACTAGTTCTATGAACTTGAGCAAGTTATTTGACCTCTCTGTGCCTCAATTTCTTCATCTTTAAAATGAGGATACCAATAATAACTGCCTTATAGGTTGTTGTGGGGATTAAATAAGAATATTAATACATATAACGACAGTGCCTGGTACATAGTCCCTATCTTAAAAATAGTAACTGTTATTGTTGTAGTTAGTTGCCGTGGAGTCCGTTCTGACTCATGGCAGCTCCGTGTGTGCAGAGTAGAACTGCTCCATAGGGTTTTCCTTTGGGAAGCAGACTGCTAGGCCTGTCTTCTGAGGTCCCTCTGGGGTGGATTCGAACCACCAACCTTTCAGCTAGTAGTTGAGCACTTAACTGTGTATGCCACCTAGGGACTCCTAGTAACTGTGAACTATGGTTATTATTTATGTTTCTACGTAAGTGCTGTGTACTCGAAATAAACAGCTATAAATACATAACTATTAAATTTAAAATGTTTGGCCATATATACATATCATGTCTAGCACCACCAGCAGCAAAGTAACTACACTTCGGGAAACCGCTTGACCACACCTTCCTCCCTTCTTAAAATTACCATCTCCTTGGTTTTCATGAGAGCTTGGTGGGGTACCACTGCCTCCTGGTTTCCCCACTACCTCTCTGGATTCCTTCTCAGGCTCCTCATCTCGACTCTCTCATTTGTACTGTTTTAATTTTATACTTTCTCTGGTCAATCTCATCTACTCCCACAGACTTAACATAAATAGACCAACATTATCTAAACCTTTCTCAACTGGAGTTCTTCATCTGAACCACAGAATGAAGAAAATGATTCAAGTTCTCAGTTCTCCCAAGGATGGTACGTAACTACTACCATTGTAGATGAAGAGAGACAGTAATTCATTCCAGACAGTGGAGGCCTTAGGGCATTAGGGCTGATTTCTCTACTGGAACCCCAGTTGAGTAAGGCTCCTCAATCCCATGTCCCCATCCTGTATTTCCTTCCTAAGGAAATGGCACCTGTATCCATCTTGTTGCCCAAGCTAGAAACCGGGAAGTTATTCTAGAACCTCCCTCCTCCCTCTCCCCATCCCTCCTCCCTCTCCCCATCCCTCCTCCCTCTCCCCATCCCTCCTTTGTCCTCCATAATCAGTGTCCATTATCTGATAATTCTACCTTCCTTAATATTCTTTGGATCTCTTCCCTTCCCATTCTCCTCACTGCCACTAACTTGGTCAGCCCATACCATTTCTCTCAGTGATTACTCAAAAGCAACCTGAGTGGTCTTGCCTCCACCAGTCCATCCTCCACTGCTTCCTAGGAAAAGCTCACTAAATATAAACCTTATTCTGTAATTTCCCCTTCAGTGGCTCTCCAAAGCCTTTCTGATAAAGCTCTAAATCCTCCACATGGATCACAAGCCATTCATGATCTGGCTCATACACCATCACCTCCCTCTGCCTGCCACTGTGCCTGCTCCTCCCTGCACCCTCTGCCTAGGATGTCCTTCTCTCCCTTCCATTCCCTCCTCGGCCACTGCCCCCTTCTCCTGGCCAGTTCTCATCGGCATGCTCTACAGCTGCTCCCAGTAAGCCTCTCCCCTTGGGAGTTGCCTGGATTCTGCTACCTCAGGGATAGCAATCTTGAACAGAACCTACAAGCCAATCACTATCACGCTGCAAGGCATCTCCCACAAGCCAAGTTTATCCAAAGGGAGCAGCTTTGCATCTGTGAGCGTTTGATCACCAAGTGACTAAACTGGAAGAACTCAATTCTCCAATTCCCAGGATGGAGGTCTATGCCTCACCTTGTGGCTGCTCAGAGCCTGCATTTTCACTGTTGGATGAAGCAGTGAACGAGGAGCTGGCACACACTCATGTTTTCTTAACAGACCTAGTGCTGCCAGCTTCACTGTACTTGCTACAATATTGCAAGGCTCCGAAATTCCTGGGAGACTCCCAATAGTAAATAACATCTGTGGCACTGAGATTTCCAAAGGTCTGGATTGGAGAAGCATCCAAATTTAACGGCTAAATTACTTTTGATCAAAGAGTTTTTAACTTGGGGTTCATGGCTGGGCTTCAAGGAGTCCAGGAACCTCCTAAAATTATAGGCGTAGTTTTTTGTGTATTTTCATGTGCATATTTCCCTGGGGAGAGGGTCCACTGCTGAGGACCGAGCATCTTAGACAGACCAGTTTTCCCTTTGAACTGTCAGATTTATTTCATTTATTCTTTAAAATGTTTGAGCATTTGCTATGTGTCAGGCACTGTCCTAAGCACGGGAGATGTATTATCAGTGTAAACAACAACACATCTGCCCTCGTGGCACTTATATTCTAGTGGTTAAAGGCAGACAATAATCAAAATAAGAGAGTAAATTACAGTCTATGTTAGAAGGTGTTAAGTACCAAAGAGAAAAATTAAGCAAGGTCATGCTGCGGAAGGTAGATAAAATTTTAAATAGAGTGGTCTAACAAGGCTTCATTGAAAAGACAACAATTAAGTGAAGACTTGAGGCTGCTGAGGGAACAAACTACATGGGTATAAGGAAGAAGAAGAGTAGTTGAGGAGGAGAAAAGAGCAAATGCAAAGGCCCTGAGGTCCCAAAAGAACCCAAGGACTAGCTCTTCAAAATTGCTTTTGTCTAACATTAAGGCAGACAGCAGGGGCTAAGAAAACATCAACATCTTCTGGCAAAATGGAAAGGCCCAGCACGTGAGGTCTTTTTCTGTTTGACGGACTTGACTGGTTTGTGTGGCCAAAGCCACAGAGAATAAGGACATCTCTCTGGACCACGGACTGATATTATCATTCAGACCTGCTCTTTCTACAACTGGATGAAAGCACATATACTTTTGGCTCAATTCCAATTGTCATTTTGTCGTTGTCCATTTTCAGCAAGTCAACCACAGCCTCTCAACAGAAGAGCTAAATAACTCTTAAGGGGGAAAGAGGAGGGGCACATTAAGATTCAAGAGAAGAAAGTTAGATGGAGGAGGGATGTGAAGAAAGAGGAATTTGGGAGAAGGGTCCAAGAACTAAATGGGGGAGATAACATAGGTGGGGCTGGAGTTGAGGAGTGGATGTAAATGTAACACACTTATCTCTGAATTCTCACTAAAAAGCCATTGCGGTGGAGTTGATTCCGACTCACAGTGACCCTACAGGACAGGGTAGAACTGCCCCAACGGCTGTCCAAGGCGCAGCTGGTGGATTCAAACTGCTGACCTTTTGGTCTGCAGCCATAGCTCTTAACCACTGCGCCACCAGGGCTCTGAATTCTCACTAGAGATTAATATAGTTTTGGTGCCTCACAAGTTCCTTTCCCAAAAGCTGATGAGAGCAGAATTGGTTTATCTCTACATCTGCCTCTGCTCAAAAAAGTTCAATGGTTCCCAGCTGCGTACTGAGCTAAGCCCCTCTAGAATATGAATCCAGCCTACCTTTAGCCTCATTCTAATTATCCCCCATACAAATTCATTATCCAGCCAAAACGGACGTTTGGTTGCTCACAATGGCTCCTACACCTGCTTTCCTCCCTGCTTTGTGCAGATTTTCCCTTTACTTTGAATGTTGCTCTCCTAGCTTTACTGGCTGAAATCCTCTCATCTTGAAAGCCAAGTTCAGATGCTTGTTCTCTGATGCAGCCTTCACTGGTGCTCCCACAACTGGGAGATCCGTGTACTCAAGTCTCTCCTTATCAGGTTGCACCCAGTATTAGTTACTAGCAGGGCTTCGAACCGGTCGGAAGCCCTGGTTACTAGTGTGCTTGTCTTGCTGCTCTAGATCATGAGTCTTGAAGACAGAGACTGTGTTCTCCTCCTCATAGTCCACGTTCATTATCTATTTGCTCATTCCAAAGAAAAAGTGTGTCAATGTCTACTGTGTACCAATCATTGTACAAACAGAAGTGAATAAGAAAGACTGGGTGAGTTTAATACTGCTGAAACAGGACCTGTGCTATCTGATGGGATTCCGGTAGTGTGATTGAACTGCATGAATGAATTCATTCTTTCTGTTGATCCTCTATGTTTAATGTAACCATATTTGCCAAATCCCTTGCCTCAAGAAGCCTTAAAAATCATATAAAGGCTAAGTTTCTATTGCCAAAGTAAATCAAAGAACTGAGGCAACTTAGGAAGACAACTCAAATTGTCCAGGAAAAAAAAAATCTGCCTCTGAAATTACTGGGTCATTTCAGTTCTTATTCCAGGGTCATACTACTGTCTCATATTTGCAAAGTACTTTTAAAGTTTTACAAAACATTGTCATCTATATTATTAGCAGTGACTTTCAAACTTTTTTGTCAAATGACTCACAGTAAAAAAAACCAAAAAATATTTTACAACACAACCCAGGTCATATGTATCATATTCTTTCCTTTAAACAAGTATTTACTGAACACCTACTAAATGCTAAATACTATTCTAAATGCAATATAGTAGTGAAGAAGTAAAAAAACAAAACAAAACAAGTACACACACAGAAACAGATTAATGAAACAAAACCATCTTACTACTGCAATGTATTTGATGTTTTCTATTTTATTTAAAAAAAAAATATGCTGGTCACCCCCATTAAACCATTAAGTTGGCTTCTCAACTCACTAGCGGATTGAGACCTATAGTTTGAAAACTACTGGTCTAGACAATCTGTTAAGTAAGCAGACTGTGCTATTCCCGTTTTATAGATGGAGTGACATGCAAAGAGAGGCTAAGTGAGTGATCTAAGTTCACATACAATCTGAGGGAAGCAATGGTGACATTTCACCTCAGGGCTTCTGACTTAAGTCCACTGCTGCCCTATTATCTGCTGCAGCCCTAGTGTTTTAGTGCTCATTTCTCTTTGATGGTGAAATCTTGACCTTGCCTGGAGCAGCTCTTCCTTCCCTTGCCAAGTAAACTCGTGATTTATACTTCTAAGCCCATCCAGAACGTTATCTACTCCAGGATGACTCTCTCGTGCCACTACTACATCCTGGCTTGCTTCATGATTACTTGTGTTCCAGAGTAGGCTCCACTCCACTGTGACCTCCTTAAAGGCAGGGACTGCCTCACTCATCTTTTTTCCCCCAAAGCTCAGTGTATTACAGAGCGGGTTTTAATAAGTTCACATGCAATTTAAGTGACTCAAAGAATGGGAAGGGAGTGTACTTCACTCTGGGAACAGAGCAGACTAGCCAGGATTGCAAGATTTAGGCAATATCTATTTAAAAAGCTAAGGGATTGGAAAAGATACCATGGGGGGAAAATCTCTTTAACTGGGTTACAAGTCACACATTAGGTAGAGGTTTCCATAGTGTAAAAACTATACTAATCCAAATTTTTTATCTACCTAGCATCAGTACACAGATTTAGAACCAGGCCACCTGCCAAGGACCACAGGTGACAGAAACTTAGTAAAATTAATTCAAGAAAATGGAGATCACCATAAGGAGACCCAAGGAATAGTTGATGGGCCTGAGGAAGGATGGGAGCCAGAGGTCCCTGGGGAGCTCCTCAGCAGCAGAAATAAGGGCACCTTTGCTGTAATGGTGACCATGACAATGGGGTGACCATTACACCTCACTCAAATGCAGGGAATCAGTTCAAATTCTCAAGAGAAAGAATCTAAGTGGCACACACATCTAGGATTTTCACCCTTGCTTCAATTAGTTTGCGTAGGATGGGGCTGTGTGGTTGGTGCAAATATCTAGGGAAGGAGGGAGGAGAAGAAACGATTTGAAAAGAGTTGAACTCTGACTAAATATTGAACCAAACTGGAAGCTTTAAGTTTCAATTTTGTCCTACCACCAGAAAGTATGGGGACTCAAGGCCAAGATACCAGTTATGAAAAATTACACAAAATACTACATCTGGGACATAGTGTAACATATAATTACAATCCTATTAGAACCAAACAAAAAAGTAGATTTTTAGCTAAGTGATCTCTAAGTTTCAGGTGTCTACAAATCTGATTTTATAAATGTATTATGAAACTTTTGGACAAGATAGGTTATACAATTCTCTAACCCATGGTTTTCAGACTTTATTTTAAATCAGAGATTCTAATTCTGTAGGACAAGATTAGGGTCCAGAATCTGCATATTTAAATAAGCATCCCAGATTCTGTTAGAGATGGTTCACGATGAGAAACTTGCTTAACCTAACTCCTTCCTACTTCAAGTAATTAAAAAGGGGTCCAACTTGCATAATAAGTTTTTAATTAGAACCAAATAAGACCATGTAGATGCACCATTTAGTAGCAACACTGAATAAGAGCATGTACAAACTTTAAAACCATCACATTTCTTACAATTGTTTTTAATAGCATTTAGTCACATCACTTACAGTGGCATATATTCATAAAAGACGTTTAAGACTGGTGATTTAGTCTTATCTTGGTTTCTTTTAAAATTGAGAATAAGGGAACCAGTTACGAGTTCACAAAGAATGTTTCCGGATGATATGTTCGACTATAAATTCAAAAGGTACAGACATTAATCCATAAACAGCAAATATGAATGTGACTTAATTAAGCCTGTTGGTTCACATTTTTTTAAAAGCACCCTCACTTCTTTAAAGTTAAGTACTATATATGATTCTTGACAGTCCATTGTGGACATGATATACTCAGGGCCACATGAGGGGACAGGTGCTGAGTTTATGTGACTATCCAATTCAGAGTCTGATTTACAGTTAAAATGAAACTGCATTACAAAAGAGCTACAGTCACAGGTAGCAGTCATTTCCTCAGATACAGATTCCAGCGCTCTCATTATCCTGGTTACCCTCCTTTACGCTTTTGCTTGCATATACCTTTCTCTTAAAAAAGCAAAAAATATAAAAATTCACCAAAATTCTGAAAGTCACAGTTTTTAAGCACTGGATGAGAGTAGCTTTGGCATTTGAAATTACAAAGTCACATTCATTACAAACACTCCCTTCACTCTGGGTCAAGGCGAGGTAAAACTGGAAGAATAAGATTCCCAAATGCAGAGTCTTGAGTTATGAAGTATCCGGATGAATGTGCATGAGCATGCTGGGAAAGAGTGAAAAAAAAAAGCAATTAAGCTATTAAGAGTCACAATTTTTCAACTAAGGCATTAAAATTACTTACTCTTTCTAAGTGCTTAAGTCCAAATTTATTTAAAAATCAGCTCTTGTGCTGCTAATTTCGTTTAAATACACAGGAGATGGACAATAATAAAGAATTCACATTAACAAGTTGCACCAGGTACTCATTTATCATCCCCACTACCTCCCCTGTGACTCTCTTCAGTCAATAAATGAGTCATACACATGAATTGTTTTGCTCCTTGGAGTGGTTTGGAAAACTAGCAACAAGGTCCCAAAGTATTCTGCTTTGGCCAAAAAAGCAGGAGCTTAAGAAAGAGGTGCAGTAGTTGGAAGGGAAGAGAGGAGGGGAGAGTGAAGCAGCTGATAACTAGTGATTAAAATACCAAAACTCTATAGAGAATGTTGGAATGTAAATAACAGAAAACCACCAGCAGCTTCCCTCCATCACTAAAGAAAGGAGGATAGTCTTCAGGTTGTCTAAAGTGAGATGATCTTTAAGGTCCCCACATCCAATTCTGAGATTCTGAGATTTAAAAGAAAGGCCATTAAATTATGCCAATTTAAAAAAAAAAATGTTTTGTTCAAGGCCTCTGGGAATCTTAATAAAATTATCCAAGATCAATGTAATACTAAAATTACTACTATGAAGCATAATAAATTTTTTTTAAACTGATAGAATATCACAACCCTAAACCTATGATAAGAATAAGTCTTTAAATATTTCCTGCACAACAGTCATGCTAACCACTAAGAAGAAAAAGAACTCAAACAACAAAAAATAAACCATGTAAGACTGCCAAAGGATGTAATAACATGACAAAAAAAAAAAGTACTATTAAGTGGGCCGGTTCAGTTTTTAAGATCATTTTGTCCATCCAAATACCCTAAACTCTTTTGTGCTCAAGCAATCCCTTGGCGGGTACACCACAGAATCAATCATGACCATGTCAACACCATAAAAGATACTTTCATTACTGCTGTATTGGTCCTTCAAATCCTGTGGGCATGACTGAACATCAGCAAAACCACTGCAATTATTTGTGGAACATTTTTACTGATATTGCTCCACTGAAATACAAAAGAAGAACTACGGTGGCTTCCAAGACCCGGGCATTCTACAATGAGACGAGAATGTCAGTTATACTTTGCTCACCTGTAAAGCTGCCTTCTGCTGGGCTGCAATATGCTGCTGCTCAGCATGATCCCGGAAATCCTTATTAAGAGAGGGTCTCGAGAGTGCAATGCTAAAATGGAAATCTTAGTTACTTGGCTGTTTAAGGCAGAGGTCCTTACTTCATGTTTTTCATTGCATACTCTATTTAAGGATGAAAAAGGAAGGACGTTCCAGAATCTTTTTTCCTTCCCCCATGTTCTACACTAATTTATATGAAGAAAGCCTATGTTATTTACTCAAGTTTCACATGATCTTTTTATAATTTATGGTTCCCCTAGTTTCAAACAGATCTGAGGAATTCCAGTCTATCATGAACCACATTAAAAACCATTTTTAAAAACAGTTCAAACAAGCCATACGATATTCATAAACAGTAAAACCATACTTTTTGGTTTGTTTATATAATAAGTACACTTCAGTTATCATAAACATGTTCCACATAGGTGGAACTACTATGAATAAAGAAACAAATTGAGAGGCAGTCATCTACCAGATTGTGGAAAGCTACTATATGCTTCGCTCTGTGCTAAACCCTAACTAACCAGTAACCAGTTGCTGTCAAGTTGATTTGGACTAATGGCAACCCCATGTGTCAGAACAGAACTGTGCTCCATAGGGTTTTCAAGGCTGTGACCTTTCGGAAACAGATCACCAGGCCTTTCTTCTGAGGCACCTCTGGGAGAGTTTGAACTGTCAACCTTTTGGTTAATAGTCAAGCACTTAACCATTTGTGTTACCCGAGGACTCTGCGCTAAACACTAGGGGTAAAAGAACATATAAGACAAAGCTCACAAACATGCAATTATGATGAAATGTGATACATGCTATAATAAGGGAATTAATAAGGATACCTAATATAGCGAGAAGGATAAAGGTCAAGGAAAATTTTATGAAAATTATATTTAAGATGAAAACTGAAGACTCAAATGTTTTAGGCAGAAGGAAGAGCATGTGAAAAAGCCTAGGAGCAAAAGAGCTTGATGTGTTTGAAGAAATCAGAGTTCAGCAGGACTGGGTTCAATTCCCAGCCAATGCACCTCAAGCACAGCCACTCACCACTCGTCTATCTATAGAGGCTTGCATGTTGCTATAAGGCTGAACAGGTTTCAGCAGACCTTCCAGACCAGGAAGAAAGGCTTGACAATATACTTCCAAAAATCAGCCAATGAAAACCTTATGGATCACAATAGTCCAATCTCGTTGTATATATGGGGTTGCCATGAGCTGGGGGCCAACCTGAGGGCAGCTAACAACATCAGTAAGGACTGGAGGTTACAGTCAAGGAAGGGTGAAGTGGCCTGGCAAAAAAAAAACGAGGCTAGAGAGGAAGGCAGGTGTCAGGATATGAAGAGCCTTGTGAAATAAATTAAGAAGTGTAGACCTTAACCTAATAAGTAATAGAAGCTCTCCGAAGAGTTTTAAGCAGGGGAGTGACATGATCAGAAGTATCACACAGTGGTGCAGGCTGACAGTGTTGATCACCTTCTCAACAACTGTTTATCTCTTTTCTTCCTTGCTAATGGAACCTAAACTTAGTTCAATTATTAGTGGCTGGGCAAGCTTCATCCCCAGCCCCAAACCCAGGGGTAAACCTTGACTGGTATACCACTTTCCCTGCTAGTTTCTGTCTTAGGCAAGAGAAAGTGGCACAATTCTGAGCAATGAGACTTGATGGGTAGTCTGCTGGAAGGCTGAAAAAGAGAGGGGAGCGTTAGGATAGTGGCTGAACAGAAAATGAATCTGAGGGAAGATATTTAAGATGAGAGAGACTGAACACAATAAAGATCTTAAAGCTACCTAAATGTTTCCTACTCTGCAGAACACTATATATAGGCCACTGGCAATGATTTCAGTAACAAAAATCACATAAAATTCTTTTCTGTTTTGAAAAGGAGGATGTAGGGAAAACTAACTAGATTTAGAATATTTAATTTCTAATTAATTAAGACTATTTTTTTCTACTCTAACTAGGAAACAAAGCAACATAAAAATTCCAATATTAAACAAACAACTGCCAACCAATTTATTTTGTCCAAGAAATTTTTTATATAACTGAATAAAAACACTGTATTATTCTTCAAAATCTATATGCTTAGCACAAAACAAGTATTTCATCCATTCTATTGAAGAATATGTTTAATAACAATACCCCCAAAATAGCAGTCAATACCTAGCTCCAGGATGATTTGTTGAAGATTGATTCTGCATAAGTAATTTTCTTTTCTCTTTGTCCAGTTCAGCCAAGATTGCAACTCTATTTTTATTTTGAAAACCTAAAAGAGAAAGGGAGAGAGAGAAAAATAAGAAACATTTTAAAGCTATTTTATAAACCTAGGCCACTTATAACCCAGAAAGCAAAATTTTTATTCTCTAACATGATAATGAACTCACTATAAATGTAGTCTCCCAAGATAGTTACTGTTCCCTTACTATGTATTTCCCAGCAACTTTAACAGCATAACAGCATAGCATAACTTTAGCGGCATAATACATGGCTACATATGCAAAGCATAATACTGACTGAGGACTTTTAAGGCTTAGTTCTAAAGAATTTTAATCGCCAAGATATAGGCTACAGCATTTTTTTTTTTTTTTAAAAAAAGAAATTCTGTAGCCCTAAATGCTGAAAGGACCAATCTCCAGACTACACAATCTTTGGGATGGCAAATTTTCTTAATTCTCAGTTTTAGGCCTCTTTATGAATGCTTCTTTCATGGGGGAAGAAGCATAAGACATACTCAGATTAAAAATACACATATACTTCTTTTTCTTAACTGCTTCCATTCCAAAACGACACACGCTCTTTCAAGGAACAAGTGAAAGAAACGCAACTGACGTGAAAGCAATTCTGAGTAAAAAAGGAGCATAACCGGCAGGATACAAAGAAATGTGCCCTTTATCAAATGCTTACCACTGGGCTTGATTATGAACTTCAATCCTGCGTAAGACCTAGAGCAGAGGTTGCAAATGGGTAGCCCAGGAGTAGCACCCAGCTGTTTTAAAATCCTGAATTAGATGCCTACATGTAACTATTGCTAGACTGCACACAAAATTCCCAGATCTCTAGCCTCTCTTGAAACATCTTAAGATCTAGCAACAAGGGATCTGCATGCCCCATGGCAATGATTAGCTAGGACTAAGAAATAGCTGTCCCCTTTGGCTGGGCAATCTCTAGCTTCTTACAATCCTTACCAGACTTTACTCGTTTATGTTACTCGTGGGCATAGGAGTTTCTGATCCTAATCTAGAAGATAAGGAGCTCTGGTGGTGGCACAGTAGTTAAGTGCTCGGCTGCTAACCAAAAAGTCAGTGGTTTGAACCCACCAGCTACTCCTAGGGAGAAAGATTTGGCAGTCTGCTTCCGTAAAGATTACAGCCTTGGAAACCCTATGGGGACAGTTCTACTCTGTCCTGTGGGGTCACTATGAGTCAAAATTTACTCGACAGCAACAGGGTTTTTTAATCTAGAAGAAAACAAATGGAAGGATTAAAAAACTGAAAAACAACTATGAGGAAAAAAAAGAAGAAAAGAAAATAAGAAGGTTCAGAGGATTAGCATCAATGGGATAGCTTACTGGCTAGAAGAAAGAATGAAGACTGGGGGGCACATTTTTCAAGCAGTGCAGATTCTCACCACTGAGCACTCCTGAGGGCACCCACATAAAGGATTCTAAGAATTTTATACTGATTATAAAGAGGGAGAAATGTGTGCTAGGATGCATATTTCCTTCTCTTCTGGAGAGAGATGCAGATTGGTCAGGGTGGTGCAGGATATACAAGAGCATTCACACTGAGATTGGTCTAAAATAGAAGCAGCTGAGATTTACAGCATTTTAAATTAAGTCTCCTCTTAAATCGGGAATCACATATACTGGCTACAGTCAGGATTATGGACAAAAATGTGTCCGCCACATCCTTTTTAGGATTTATCAACTCTCATTTTTCTTCTCTGCTCACTCATCCTTATGCCACCAACTTGTTATCAAATTCTAGTAATAGCAGACTCCCTCTGTTTGGATTAGATAATTCACACTAATATACACTGGTATTCTGAGGAAGATGGCTCTGTGAACCTTCCAGGTAATTCTTCACCTATTCTAATCCTAACTTTAATCTCCCTACCCCTACCCTATTCCCAACCTCCTAGTTACTCAGTTTTCCAAAGAAGCTGCTCTATGGGGCCTTAACATCCCATACATCTTTACCTGCTTCACCCACTCTTGCAGACTGGTATGTCTCAGGAGAACCTTTTGACTTAAAGGATTGTATAAGAATGTACTTCTTATACAATTGGTTATTTCTGAAAGGATAGTAAGAGGGTATTTTCTATCTCAATTTAGGATTCAGTAAGAAGAAATGAGGCAGTTTTCATTAGTAGGAGATAGTAAAGTTTGAATCGATGAAAACTTCCACCCAGGGTCTCAGTATCAGAGTTATTACAGTACTCTAGTCTATGGAAATCCTTCCAAAACAGTTGTTGTTTGCCTTAGGATAGTTTGCTTAAAGTTGCCAAAGCAGACAAATTAATTCATGTTAAATGAAAAGAGTTAAAGTAACCTTCAATGGCTACTTCTAGCTTCAGCACATGAAGATTTCATAATCTGCCCAAATGTCTGCCACTCAAAAACCCTCAGCTATTTCATATGATTCACACCCCCTCCCCTTTTTCTAATCATGTACTTACGTATCTTTCCTGGCTTTGTCAAAAAGGAACAGTCTCATTTAAAAGGAAAAGCCATGCATGTTTGACAAATGGACATTATTTGCATTTTTTTAATGGAAGAAAACCTTGAGTTCAATAAAAATATTTCAGGATATGTAAGAATATTCATGTATCTGTCTGTTTAACATTTCAGGACCAGGTTAAGCTTTAAATAAAATTTATTCTACATCCATCTATGGACAACTGATTTTCCACAAAGGACCAAAGTCTATTCCAAGGGGAAGGAACAGTTTTGTTGGCAAATGGTGCTGGCAAAACTGGATAAACACATGCAGAAAAATGAAACAAGACCCATGCCTCACACCATACACAAAAACTAACTCAAAATGGGTCAAGGACATAAATGTTAAAGCCAAAATCATAAAGTTCTTGGAAGAAAACATAGGGGCAAAACTATGGGACCTAGTTTTAACGATGGATTATCAAATACAACTAAAAATGCAAGAGAAGCAGAAGACAAAATAGGTAACTGTGACTCCAACTTTGTTCCATAAATTGAACACTTATGCTCATCAAAAGACTTTAACAAAAGAGTAAAAAAGACAATCTACAGACTGGGAAGAATCTTTGGGGTCTAATCTGTAAAATACATAGAAAACTTCAACAACTCAACAACAAAAAGACAAACAACCCAATTAAAAAATGGGCAAAAGACATGAATAGACACTTCACCAAAGAGGACATTCAAGTGGCGAACAAACACACGATGATGTCTGTGATCTTTAGCCATTAGAGAGATGCAGTTGAGGAGATTGGAATCCTTACTCTCTGCTGGTGGGACTGTAAAATGGTACAACCACTATGGAAAATGGTATGGCACTGCCTCACAAAACTAGAAATATGACCCTTATGATCCAGCAGTCCCACTCCTAGGTATATACCCTAGAGACCTCATAGAAGTGACACAGACAGACATATTCACACCTATGTTCACTGCAGCACTATTCACAACTGCAAAAAAAAGGAAACAACCTAAGTGTGGATAAGCAAAATCTGGTACATACATATAATGAATACTATGTAACCATAAAGAATAATGATTAGTCCTCAAACATAATCTGGATGAATCTGGAAGACATTATGCTAAGTGAAATAAGTCAATCACAAAAGGACAAATACTGTATGCTCCTACTTTAATAAAAAGACAAAAATACATATACACGCAGAAAACAATGTTCACTGGTGGTTACCAGGGATGGGTGGGTGGGGAGAGGGGGAATCACTCTTTAGATAGTAGACACTGGTTATTTTTCGTGATGGGAAAGCTAACACTGAATGTGGATGAAATGCACACAGAATGACCAAGGTAAAAGATGTCACTAAGAAGGACACATACAGACACAAAAAGAACATTTTTGGTAAATGCTAGGACATATATAATTTTGCAACAACAACCAAAAAACATATATGTGGTTACATATATATGTATGTATGCATATATGTGTATAGGTATGTGTGTATACATGCATGTAGCTATCTGTATATGTATACACATCTGCGTGTGCATGCATGTATGTTCATACATATAATAAAGCACATAGGGGGCACAGTTACAGATACTTCTTAGATATAACCAAACACCTCACAGGATTGGATTTCTGGGTTTGAAGCCTTAGGACAATAGTCTTGCGGGACAACTCAGTCAACTGGCATAATACAGTTCACAAAGTTTATGTTCTACATCCTAGTTTGGTGAGTAGCATCTGAGATCTTAAAACCTTGTGAGCAGCCACCTAAGATACAATGATTGGTCTCTTCTCATCTGAAGAAAAAGAGAAAGAGGGAAACCAAAGACTCAGTAAAGAAACTAGTCTACAGGACTGTCTACACGAACCACAGTCCATCTACCTTGAGACCAGAAGAACTAGATGGTGTCCCGGTTACACTAACAGTTCTGATCAGGGCCACAATAGATGGATCCTGATAGAAGGGGAGAAAAATGTGGACCAAAACTCAAATTCTTAAAAAGTCCAGATTTACTGGACCAGTTGATACTAGAGGACTCTCTGAGACTATCGCCTGAAATACTCCATAAACCTTGAACTGAAACTACCCTGAGGTCATCTTTTAGCTAAATACCAGATTGCCTCATAAAGAATATTACCAGTGAGTACCATGCACCTTTAAAAAAAATCATCTATATGAGACCAAATGGTCAACAATTACTCTAAAGCAAAGATGGAGGGGTAAGGGGACAGGGAAACCAGATTACTGGGAAGTGAAATATCCAGAGGGAATTAATGAGAATGTTAACACACTGTGAAAAATGTAACCAATGTCTCTGAATAATTTGTGTAGTAATTGTAAATGGGAACTTAATTTGTTGTGAAAACTTTCACTAAAAACACAATATTATTTTAAAAAATTTTTATTCTATCCCCTCCTATCATTTTACTGATAAAAAGTTTGCAAAGTAGTCAAAAGGGATGAGAGGAGTCATTCCTGGTAGAGAAACTTCATGTACAAAGATGTTAATGTAACAGACATTTAGTGGAATAAAACCTCATAATGAAGAGAAAGGATGATATATAAAAAATTTAGTAATGCTAA